AAGTTGCTATGTAGACCAGGCTGTCCTTGAACTCACAGAGATCCACCTGTCTCTGCCTCCTGAGTGCTGGGATTGAAGGTGTATGCCACCACCTTTTTATTAGTATTTTGTAGGCAACCAATTATCAGTCTGTACTTCTTGGTCTTCCTTGGAAGCAGACTTAAAGCTTTTATTATCTGTAAACATCATTCACTTCTTCTTGAGGGTGTCTCTGTGTATTTATTTAAGCTTGCACCTTACCTACACATCAGTGATTTAGAGATAGCCCTTTCTAAAGAGACAGATACCGAAGGGGATATTTCATCTCAAACATCAACTGAAGAGTTAACACTATTTTTTTAGTGATATATTTATTTTTGTTTGTATAAGTGTTTTGATTGCCAATATGTTTACTGTCGTGTGAGTAGTGCCCTCAAAGGCCAGAGGAGGATGACAGAGCCAACATGAGTGCTGAGAGTTGAACCTAGGTCCTCTAGAAGAACAAGTACTCTTAACCCCAAGATTTTTTTTAATACACTGTGGTGTTTACACACTAGGTGTCTATATATGTACTTTCAGTGTGCATCTATGTAAGCAGAGTTTCACAAACAGTTCCCTAGACAAGATTTTAGGTGACTGTAATTAAACGCTTTTTATTTTTATTTTCCTCAACCTTGCTGAGTGTGTTGACATCTCAGTTTTCATTTTGATCTAAGACTTATTAGACCCCAGGTGTATCCCCTCTTGACCAGTTAAATGCTGTACAAACTTTATATAGGAAAATGATTAATTAATGCATATATTAATATCACCATATATGTGCCACACACTATTCCAAACACTGAGCCTGGAGCATGGTGGGAAGGAGAAGATGACAGTGAGAATGAAGGAAATACCAGATGTGATTCAATCACCAGATGTGCAGTAGTTTAGATGGTGTGAGAATTAATGAAATCCGTGAAACAAGGAAAGGGAATAGAGAATGTGAGTGTTGTAGGATCAGGAACAGCCTCTCCAACAAAGTGACATTTGGATAAATGCGTGTGCGCGTGCGCACACACACACATACACACACAAACTGATGCGATTCACAAACCACAGTGGAGGTAGGGTGAAGTGATCAACTTGTGAATGTGTTTTGAACTCTTTCAATTGACTGAATTTGCTAATAGATTGACTGTAGAATATGAAGAGTTGACCTTGACACCAGATTACTGTTGCCATAATTGAGATAAGAAATATTGCAGAAAGAATGGATCTGAGAGTTATTAGAAGCTCAGATTTTGGGGGAGTATGAGTGTTGAGACAGAGTCTCAATCTCTAGCCCAGACAGGCCTGGAATTCACTGTGTAGCCTAGGCTGGCCTCAAACTGGCAACTGTCCTCCTGTCTCACCAAGTGCTGAGATTACAAGTGTGAGCCACCATGCCTTGCTGGAAGCTTAATTTTAAAGATACTAGTTTTGAAATGCTTATTTATAGAGTGTTGGATGTAGGACTCTGGTTCAGCAGATGGATCTAGGCTGGAGATCAAAATTTAGGAATTGTAGCAGTTAGATGACTTTTAAAGCTGTGAAACTGAATAAAACAACCAAGGGTGGGTATAGAAGAACATAAGAACTAAGCATTGGAACATTCCAGTGCTTAGAGACTAGAGAGAACAACCACCAGCACTGGAGTTTAAAAAGGAGATACCAAGGAGGTAGGAGAATGAAGAGTAGATGTTGAAGCCATGTGAAGAAAGTGTCAGTGAGGGCAGAATTATAGACTGTTCTGAGAGATCACAGTAAGGCTCAAGTTTTGATTAACAACCCTGAAGTCTTCAAGACCTTTGCTGCAGCATTTCAGAGGGGCAGTGAGGGAACCACCTGATGAAAGTGTTTTCAAACAGAAGGACAAATAAAGAGGAGTAGCACTGTAGAAACTGCTGGAAGTTTATCTGAGAAGAGGAATAGAAAAGTGAGCCATAGTGAAAGAAGAATGGAATCAACGCATCTTTTACCTCTGTCTGAGATGGTAGGAATAATCCTAGCAGGGAAGAATGAAGCAGCAACTCTGGAGAGGAGGTTGTTGTTGAAGTGATGTTCCAGGTAGGTGAGAGGTGTGTGCACGTGGAAAAAGGCAGCTGAAGATTATTAGAACTGCCTGTGCTCTCTGATACCAGAGAACATGGCTGTGGTAGGCAGGTGGGTTGGTAAATGAGGTATCAACTCCCTTTTGATTGTATTTTCTCACGAAATAAGATTGGAATAAAGATTTAAAGAGAGATCAGCAATTGTTACCAAGAGCACAAGAAAGTTGGGGACTCAGTAAATGTAATAGGGTTGTTGGGCAGTGTAAGGGACCTACATGAAGGTCCAGTGAGAGCAGTCTGCAATGCTTTCTCCCACCTTGTGTCACTGACAGGAACAAGTAAAGTAGGTGGAGCATTAGACTTCGCTGGAGGCTAATTTTGCCAAGTAAATAGAAAAAGTAGAGAAAGAACCAAGAAGATTATTATAATGAGGGGACAAGAGAGAGTTGGTTACAGAAGGAACCATGATGTGCTGGTAAAATTAATATTGCTCATAGGAAGTTGGATAAATTGTGATAATAAATTCTCAGCATTTGCTTTGGATTATATAGAAAGTGTTCTGAGTTCCTTTGCATTAAAAAACCCTTTCTTAAACAGGGCAGGTGGTGATGGTAATGGTTGTGATTCTCTCATTATATGGTTAAAGAAAGATCCAAAGAAGTAACTTTGTTAAATATCATGTAACAAACCCTGGAGGCTTGGTAGCACACACCTTTAATCCCAGCACTTAGGAGGCACAGGCAGGCAGATCTCTGTGAGTTCCAAGGCAGTTAGGGCTACAAGAACCAACCCTGGCCCCCTCCCCCCACACACACAGGAAAGAAAGAAAATCATGCAGTGAGTTTATAGTAAAGTTTAGACTATCTATCATGTCTGCTCAGAGATCACATGGTCTTATTAAAGAGATAAAATGTAGAAGGCAGCATAAGGACATATGTAGCCAAGTTTTCAAATTTTTAAAAAATTTTTTCTTATTTTTAAAAATGTATTTGGTTTTATGTATATGAGTATATCACCTCATTATGTAAATGCACCTGTGTCATGCAAAGCCTGCAGAGGCCAGAAAGTGGCTTCAGATCTCCTGGAACTGGAATTAAGGTTGGTTGTTAGCTGCCATGTGGGTGGTGGAAATTGAACTTCAGTCCTCTGGAAGAGTAACTAGTGCTCTTAACCCGCTGAGCAATATCTCCAGCCCGAAGCTTTAAATTCTATAGTGTAAGACATTTTTTTTCATTCAGTAATATATATTGAATGTTTAATATGAGCAAGGAACTGTTATAAGTCCTAGGGTTACATATATTAGTGAACATGACTTTTGTCTTTTTGAGACAGGGTCTCCCTGTAGCCACAGTTGACCTAGAACCCAGTATGTGCCTCAATCTCACAGAGAACCGCCTGCCTCAGCCTCCTAAGTGCTAGAATCAAAGGTATGCACTACCACACCCGACTTGTGAACAAGACTTTTTAAAAAAAAGTTCTAAAGTTAGATACTCAGGATTTTTACAAGGATTTGGTAAGAATCATATAGTTGGCAGTTAGGAAACTTACTTTTCTGCTATATCTGTACAACTTTTACTAACAATGCCTTAGGGAGTTCCTACCTTTGCAAGTCTTTGCAAGTTCTTCCTTGTCTTAAGTACTGTATTTAGTCCAAAAGGAGTCCTTGCTCTAAAGTGTCTTCATCCAACTGCCTGATGGCCTTCTGTAGGAAGGCCTTCTGTAGCACTAAGACCCTATTTGCCTGGTGAAATGTAGCACCAACATTCATTCTAAAACCATCCTCCACTTTTGAAGCTGAGGAATCTGAAAAGGGGATGTAGGCTGTAAGTGCCTGCATGGTCCAGCAGTCCCTGTGTTTTGTTTTAGGTATGAGTTCAGGGGGCACCTGCTGAGATTTCCAGGTTCTTGTGTACTAGAACCAAAAGGATCATGATAGAAATATAGACAGTTTATTGAGGCAGAGAAAGGCACTCCTGAGAATGAGAGTGGGCTAAAGCTGAGATAGGCCCCAGGCCCTCAGGCCATAAGAGTTCTGCTCCTTTATAAGTAAATTTCATAGCAGTCCTCTTCTCCCTCATTAAGAGCAGTCAGGGCATGCTCTGTTTTGATATATGTAGTCAGTGGTCAAAAGTTTCCATTCTTCCTCTGCCACTGGCTTCTTTTATATGCAAATTTTAATTATTTAATTACATATTTACATATATTTTTGTTTGGGTTTTTTATTTATTTGTTGTTTTTTTTTTTTTTTTTTTTTTTTTTGGTTTTTTTTTTTTTTTTTTTTTTTTTTTTTTTTTTTTTTTTTTGAGACAGTGTCTCCCTGTAGCCTCAGCTGGCCTGAAACTCGCTCTCACAGAGATCCACCTGCCTCGGCCTCCCTAGTGCTGGGACTAAAGCTGTGTGCCCCCATGCCTGGCTACATCTATTTTTTTTTTTTTATGTGTATGCATGTATTGCCTGCATGTAGGTAAGTGCACCCATGTCGTGCAATGCCCTTGGAGGATAGAAGAGGCTGTCAGATCTCCTGGGACTGGAGTTACGGACAGTTCTTAGCTGCCATGTGGGTGCTGGGATTTGAACCTGGGTCTTCTGCAAGAACAACCAGTGTTCTTAAACCGCTGAGCCATCTCTCCAGTACCTACATCTTTATATTTTTATTGGGGAAGGACACATGAGCCACAGTGTGATGTGAAGGTCAGAGGACAATTTATGAAAGTCCATATTCTCCTTCCACCGTGCAGGTCCCAGGGATTGAACTCAAGTCACCAGTCTAGGTGGCAAGTACCTTTATCCACTGAGCCATCTCATGGACCCCTCTAATACTAATCTTGATGCCAAGCACTCTAGGCCCTGCCCTCCTGCCACACCCATCCTCATGTAAGGACCTGTTAAAAGCTTTAAAATGACTAATGACATTTTCTCCTTTTCCTTGATGCTTCCCTGGTGATTTAGGCCTGGAAGAAACGCTGGTTTATCCTGCGGAGTGGCCGGATGAGTGGCGACCCAGACGTTCTGGAATACTACAAGAATGATCACTCCAAGAAGCCCTTGCGAATCATCAACTTGAACTTCTGTGAGCAGGTGGATGCAGGCCTGACCTTCAACAAGAAGGAGCTGCAGGATAGTTTTGTGTTTGATATCAAGACCAATGAGCGCACTTTTTACCTGGTGGCTGAAACAGAGGAAGACATGAATAAGTGGGTCCAAAGCATCTGCCAGATCTGTGGCTTCAATCAGGCTGAGGAGAGCACAGGTACGAGAGCAAGCATAGCCCTTTCCCAGAGGGCTCTGCTGAGACCCTCAGATTGCTTCAGCCAGGAGAGTAGGCTCCAGTTAAGATTTCTTTTTTGGCAGGATAGGCAAAGCAAAGGGGTAGACTGTGACAGAGTTTCCTGATTTAGATATGGTATAGAGGTACCTCCTGGTTCTGATAATAGCAAATGGGAAATCAAAGGTTGGGATCACAATGATGCTAATGATACTTTATGACACTTCTTCAAGTACCCTGGCACTCCTACCATTTCTCAACTCTTAACCTTTCTGCCCCTCCCTTAGCAATTTAGCACCCTATGCCTTGTCACCTGTCAGCCATGCCGTAGGGATTTCTCCTTGATCCTACCTCTGGTTCATTTCTGACTGTCCTAGCCCATCTATTACAGACTATTTTTCAGATTGTTGGCTTGCTTGGTTGGTTGGTTTTTTTGGTTTGGTTTGGTTTGGGTTTTTTTTTGTTTTTGTTTTTGTTTTTTGCAACCTTCATAGTTACTAATATATACTCTTATGTTCCTTTATATTTACTTTGGGACAGGTGAAAGGATGAAATACTGACTTTTTGTTTGAGTTTTGATAATCTTTGTTTAAAATAAAAAGTATCTCAACTTGTGTGTATGTGTGCATGTGAATGTTGTGTGGGGGTATACATTCCACACATGTACATGTTATGGCCACAGGTCAATATCAAGTGTCCTCCTCTATTACTTTTCACCTTGTTTTTTGAGATAGGGTCTCTCACTAAACCTAGAGCTCACTGTTTCAGCTAGACTGACTGGTCAGTGAACCATTGGGATCTGCTTAGCTCTGTTCCCCCAGAGCTGGGGTTACAGACTTGCATGACTGTACCCACCTTTTTTTACATAGGTGTTGAGGATCCAAACTCAGGTTCTCATGCTTGCACAGCAAATACTTTACCCACTGAGCTCCCTCTCTAACCCCTAGTACTTCAGCCTTTTGAAACATCAGGGCTGAGGACCCATGCCACATTAATTAACTTAGAGCCACTGAGTAATAGACCTAGGCAGTACTGTCTTAGGAGTTTTTGTGTGTTTATTTTTATAGCATTGGAGCTTGAACCTAGAGCCTTGGGCATGCAAGGTAAGCTCTCTATCACTGATCTATACCCCTTGACCAGCAGTAGTCTCTTTTTAAAACCTTTCTTCTAAATAACAAGGATTTAGATGCAGTAACCATTTCCTATAAATTTTTTGGGGGGGAGGGTCTTTTTGAGACAGGGTCTCCCTGTAGCTCCAGCTGTCCTGGAACTCACTATGTAGACCAGGCTGGCCTTGAACTCACAGAGGTCCACCTGCCTCTGCCTCCTGAGTGCTGGGATTAAAGGCGTGTGCCACCATGCCCGGCTCCTATAAATGTTTTAAGTATTAAAGGCCAGATACAATCTTGGTTTCATATTCCTTTTTCTGCAAAAAAATTAATTTTTTAATTTTATGTTCATGAGCGTATTGCTTGCATGTTGGTAGGTGCACCCATGTTGTGCAATGCCTGCGGAGGTCAGAAGGTGTTGGATCCCTTGGAATTGAGTTATAGATGGCTTTTAACCATAATGTGGGTTCTGAGAATTGAACCAAGGTCCTCTACTAGAGCTGCCAGTGCTCTTAACTGCTGAACCATCTCTCCAGCCCCATTATTGAATATTATTTTTATGTGTATGAGTGTATTGCCTGTATGTATATGTCACCCATGTCATGCATTGCCCACAGAAGTTAGAAGAGGGTGTCATATCCTATGGAACTGGAGTTATGGTTAGCTGCCACATGGGTGCCGGGAATCAAATCCCATCTGCAAAAAAATTTTACTCTTTGAAAGTATAAAAAAAGTCTGAGATCCACTAGTCTAATCCTTAAAAGTCAGGGTAGAGTTTGGACTATCAATACTCACCTCTACTGGACATTGTCAAAGGCAAAATCTTGTCAGGTATTTTGTAAAACATTTTTTTGGTTTTTTGTTGTGTTTTGTTTTGTTTTGTTTGAGACAGGATCTCCCTGTAGCCCCAGCTACCCTGGATCTCACAGAGATCTACCTGTTTCTGCCTCCTGAGTGCTGGGATTAAAGGCCTGGGCCACCACACTCAACTGTCGTTTTTGTTATTTGCTTTTGGTATAGTTGAAGTTGTCCGTTTCACATTTATCTTTTTGTTGTTGTTGTTGGGGGGAGGTGTTGGTTGTTTATTTTGGGGGAGGGTTGAGATAGGGTCTCCCTGTAGCCCCAGCTGACCTGGAACTCATTATGTAGACCAGGCTGGCCTTGAACTCACAGAGATCCACCTGCCTCTGCCTCCTGAGTGCTGGGACTAAAGGCGCCCCTCCACACCTGGCTTGAAGTTGTCCACAAACAGGATGTGCTTTCCACATGGTACTAATTCTTGGTCATGTTAACCTTGATCACTTGAAGTACAGTCTGCCAGGCTTTTAACTAAAGACCTGTGGAGAATACTTTGAGGTGTATTTCAATAATATATAAATATCTTTTCTCCTAAACTCATCCTTCTAATTTTAGCATTATTAGTAGGTCATGTTTGTAAGTTATTTCTTTGATTTCTTTAAATTATAGAAGTTTTATGAATCAATGTAACATCTGTAGTAAAGTCTCTTAATAGAATGCAACGAGCATCTTCATGCATGTAGTTTATTTTTAGTATTAAAAGGTGTAGTTGCCTCACTATTGAAATTTAAAAGTTATATCCTGTTAGTAGACTGACTTAAATCAGCTTTAATCTTTCTATGACTTATCATTCAAGAAAATAGGACAAAATACATTTATTGTTGAAAGAGTTCATTGGGCTAACAAGATGGCTCAACAGGTAAAGTACTTGCACAAGCCTGAGTTCAATTCCTGAGACCTCTAGTAGAAAGAGAAAACCAGTTCCTGAAAGTTGTCCTCTGACCTCCACACATGTGCTGTGGCCTGGGTGTACTTATCACACACACATACATTAATAAAATATCTTTAAAGATAGCACTTTTTTAAAAAGAAGTTTATTTACAAAAGTATAAGTCAATTAAGATCACTTCCTGATGAATTGGATAGCCTGAGTAATATCTATACTGTCCCAGATATTAATATTAATGAGATCTTTAAAAAAAACTTTGAAGGGGAAGATGAAAACAGTAACTATTATTATTTATTTTTATTATTGTTATTTGGTGGTGCTGAGTTTAAACACAGGGCCTTATGATTCTAGACAAGCACTCTACCACTGAGCTACATCCCCAGCCCTTAATTATCATTTTCTCCAAAAAATTAGGTGTAATTTGCACAGATCCGGAAATGATTCAGAGGTTCTGATTCATCATGTGAAAGCAAGTAGAAAAAGACCCCAAAGTGGTAACTTTATCCTTTAAGTAAATGATACATAGAAATGATAAATATGTGATAATTCAAGCCATAACTAATAAATAAAATGTACTGTAAGCCGGGCATGGTGGCGCACACCTTTAATCCCAGCACTCGGGAGGCAGAGGCAGGCGGATCTCTGTGAGTTCAAGGCCAGCCTGGTCTACATAGTGACTTCCAGGACAGCTGGGGCTACAGGGAGACCCTGCTCAAAAAGACCCAAAAAAAAAAAATGTACTGTAACATTCAAGAAGATATGAGGACATGCTTACATCACTGAGCTGACTAGCCATAAACATTTTACTAGTTTATTTTATGGTTCCAAACTGTTACCATGTTAGTTTGAAATGCTAACAAATAATTTAAATGTCTAAATATACTAAATATCAAGCACCTGTTAGCAGTGAAAGCCAAAACATGTGTGGTTGTCAAAAACAGTGACTGCTCAGGCTAGAGAGATGGCTCAGTGGTTAAGAGCACAGGCTGCTCTTGCAGAGGACCTAAGTTCAATTCCCAGCACCCACATGGCAGCTAACAACCGTCTCTAATGCCAGTTCCAGGGGATCCGACACTTTCTTCTGTGCTCCACAGGCATTGCATGACACAGGTGCCCGTACATACATACAAGCACAACACTCTTACACATAAAATATAAATTAAAAAAGAAAAAAAGACAGTGGTTACTCATACTAAATACTTATTGTGCCAGGTCCTCTCAGAGAAAAACGAAAATAATACTGAGGATTTCACTATTGTTAATTTATAATTTGAAGGAATTAAACAAAAGCCATTTGTTAGAAATATGACTGGATAGTTACAGTACAGTGCATAATTAGTGACCTCTACACACTCACTTTGACGTCTTTGTTCAGATGACTGGAAGCTGCTCATAGAATTAACAACCCAAAGGTATGGAGAGATAGCTCAATCAATAAAGTATTGCCGTGCAAGTATGAGGACCTGAGTTCACTGCACCCACATAAAAAACTAGGTTCAATGGTGTGTGTCTGTAATCCCAGTGCTGGGGAAGCAGAGACAGGCAGATTTCTAAACTTTACTGGCCAACCAGCCTAGCTAAATCAGTGAGCTCCAAGTTCAGTGAGAGACCGTCTCATAAAAAGAAGGTAGAGAGGGACTAAGGAAGACACCCAACATCAAAATCTGAATTCCCCCACATATATACACACATGTGCACACACACCTACACACACACACACACACACACACACACACACACACACACACAAATACACAAATAACAAAGAATAAACAGCCCTAGTCAAGTATGGTGGCTCATGCCCATAATCTCAATACTCAAGAGGCTAAGGCAGGTGAATTAACATGAATTTGAGGCCAATCTTGACGACAGATGACACCTGTCTCAAAAAATCACTAAGAGGGCCAGGAACAAGGCTCAGTGGGTAAAGGCACTTACCCATAAGCCTGAGGATGTGAGTTCAATCCCAGGAACCCATGTAAAAAGCTGAGTGTAGTAGTGAGCATCTGTAATCCCAGCACTTCTATGGACAATGGGACTCAAAGATAGGAGAATCACCCAGAAGCTCACAGAAGAGAGAAAAACAAGAGACCTGCCTCAAACACAAAGCAGAAAGGTAAAGATAACTC